ATAGATGCAATTAAGCATCCTACTCAGAGGCTGCATTGCTGATTCCTCTCTGCTTTCTTAAGCCAGAGCTTCCATTCAGGATTTGGCTCATCTGCAAAGAGACTCTCTACAGCTGTCTTTCTTCATTTCTTTCCCCCACCCCCTGCAGGAGAAACCAAAGTAAATGCAGGTGACATTGGTTTGGGGTTTCATTTTTTAAGCTCTTCTCTGTACCAGCCCTGTGAAGTAGAGTAGTATTATCCTCATTTTAAAGAATGGGAACTGAGGCACAGCAGATGACTTGGCCAAGGCCCCTTAGGGTACCTCAGCTGAATTGCAACCAGCTTGAGTCCCTGCCTGTATGGGTGTTGAAAGAGCAAGAGACCAGGGTCAGCATTCTTTCTTACAGGAAGCTGCCTAAAAGTACTGCCTTGTAAAGAGGAGCAGACAGGGAAAACGGCTAAAGGTCTTTCTGTGCGTGCTCAGTCAGCAAATACCTCGCTGCAAGACACGAGCCTGTGAACGCAGTTGTTCCTTTCTGCTCTCTTCAGAGGACTCTCTTACCTATTTACTCTCACATGGAAACATGTGAGTGGGAGGCCAGAAGCAGTTGACTCATTTGCAGCAATTCTCCAGTTCAGCAGCTAGGTTTTCTCCCTGAGGCAGTGTAATGTGACAGAAAGGAAGCTTCTGAAAGCATTTCTTCATCCTCCGGATTGCAGTCTGTCACTGCTGCTGCAGAAGTGACACACCTGCCTGCCACCGCCTGCAGCTCTTTGGGTCACTGGAGGGGGAACGGAGAAGGCAGGAGCTTCTTCCTCTCCACCCTGAAATCACCTTGTTTTGGGCTTTTTTGCTCTGCCAGTACTTGGACATGACTAACGCACCTGTTCCTGTGCTGGCTTGGCAGCCCTTGCAAATGGGATTTCAGACTGGGGACAAGTGGAGCACGGCTCGCTGTGCACGTAGCAGTCTTCCCACAAACTCCTGGATGCTGATCCAGAGAAGAGCCAAGAAGGTGCAGTCTCCACCAAGCCTTTGTGAGTCTTGCTGTGGTGCCAGCCTGCACAGGGAAGGAGTATAGTGTTTAGTAACACTAGGTGCCTATTTATTTACCCTTGTATTTCAGGACAGCAAAACCCTGTCGCCTCAGACTAACCTGCAGCTGACACAGTGAGAAATGGAAAACACTCTCTTCTGTCCTCCATCACATAAACAATTAGTTGTCTTTGCACAGCTAATTTTTAAGCAGTTGCTGCTTTTTATGGAGGAAAAAAAAAACAAAACCAAACAACAAATGAAATCAAATCCAAACAAAAAAAAAAAACACAACAAAAACCAAAAATTAGTATGGTTGAATCAGAAACATTTTGGTAAATCATGCTGTTTTGTTTTGGAGGATGCCACTCCTCACAAAAAGACTTCTACTATACAGCTCTTGAACACTGTATCACAAAATGATACTTTTTAAAATATTTGCCCCTGTTTTTCTCCTGTTTTGCATGAAGATGGTAACTGTTCTTCAGCAAAATAAGATGTAGGTGAGGGGAAAAGCATCAGGATTTTATTCCTAAAGAGCTGAGCACACACAGGTTTATAACAAGAGCTTGTAGCAGTTTATGCCACATGAGAAACACTGCTGGGAAATTTATCAAAGAATATATCATGAGGTGGACTATTTAGGGACTGAAATTATATAGGAAGACTAGCAAGAGAGATGTGTGCTCAGGACAAGCACAGTCGCAATTAATGCTAAATATAAGGTGCCATATCTTTATCTAATGCACAGTCTGCACTGCCTCGCAATGGAAAGTTAAGCAATTAGGCCCAAATAACCAGATTATACGTGGGAGGTGTTTGAAGACAGATTTAAAACACTGTAATAGGGTTGGGGGAGGGTTACAACAAGAGGTAATATTTCCTGATAGGTTAGTTCACATCCTTTGGAAAACATTCTGGAACCAGACCAGAAAAGTAAGCAAGGCCTTAACCAGGACTTGGCCTGGGACGACACCCAAACAGAGGCGAAAAGTAAAGAGACCCAACCCTGCCTGTGCACACGCAGCCCCTCCAGCAAGTAATCCCTGGGAACAAAACAAATCCAGTGGCAGATAGCATAGTTCTGTGTGGATTTGCAGCTGCCTCAGCACAATTCAAAATCAGCCTTCCCCTTTCTTATTTCTCTTGAGCCGGTGCTAAGGGCAGAGAGGAAAACCTGAGCCCAAACAATAATGACTCTCTTTAAGAGTGGGAATGGGAATTCACTCCCAGAGGATCCAGGGGCAGGGCCAGGTGCAAGTCTTTCCCCCACTCTGCCTGCCAAGTGTCTTCTTCTCCCATCCTGAAGGTTTGGATTGACTCTGTGGCAGAGAGGACAGTTTGTTTGCACAGCCCTTTATACTCCTCTGAGGTGAGGCTGTCCGCTGGAGGATCAGGGGAAATCAAAAGGAACTGAATCATCCAACCTTATAAAAACTCCAGATCAGGAAAAGACTTGGTTGGAATGTACTGATGTGGGAATGGGAGGGTGAGGATGAGATGGGAAGGGATTGCTTTGGGAAGAGGTCTCTCAGCTTCTGCAAAGCTCCTTGCCCCTATTTATCCTTTCAACACACAGACAACATTCTGTCTTCTAATGTGAGAGGTGGGGGCTAAACATTTCATCACAACAAAGTGAAAATAATCTCTGCTGCCTTTACTTGAATGTGGGAAATACTCTCTTGCTTTTAAATACAAAACTATACATACATTTATGAACCTACTGTTGCTTTCATGTGGGAGCCTTAGGTGAACACAAAAGACTACATTGTGCAGCTACAAATGAACAGAGCATCCAGGATTAAAGAGATTTTATTTAGCCCCACATTGAATAGCAGAGCTGATGGCAGCCTCTGATACAGAAAAAAATACATAACCAACAAGTAATTTAGCAAGCATTGGAACTAAGAAAGTCACATCTCCTGTATATTTGTGTATTGTGGTTGATTGACCACGGTGTCTAAGATGGCAAAAAATTAATTTGAAGCTCTTCCTACAGATCAGACTCTTATTAGTATTCTCAATTTTATGGAATATCTGAAGTCTAATAAGGCATGAACCCATGTTGTAACTTTCACTGTCAGGGACTGTGAGAGAGTCTCTTTTTGCTATCATGCCTGTTATTTTTCACAAAATCTGTAGGGATGTAATTGTACTTCTGCCAAACTTGTTTGAAATCAAACAGTGGGCTCAAAAGTTTATTAGAGACATGGACAGACAGGCAGATGCAGATACCATGACCATGTAAGTCTCATTTCCATCAGAAATAAGGCTAAAAGAGCTTACATGGAAATTAATTTTTAAAGGAGACTTGATAGGCAGAGGAGTAGAGCTTTGCAAAGTGTAATTTCAAATTTTAAGTGCATTTCATGCTAGGAAAAGCTCCTGAAGACAGTCTGGAATACCAAAAGTATCTCTTTAAACTGACGGAGAGGAACAGCACAGCACGAGTTGTGGTGGCCCACCTGATCCTTGTTTTTTTAAACTAACTGACACTGAGGGCAGGTGATTTCTTAGAGAGAGGAAACAAAGAGCAGCTTCAGAAGCTCTGTCTCCTGTAGTTTTTTCTACATGTGAGCACTTAGGGCTACTCACAGATGTCAAGCACTGCAAATGCCTCTGAATGTTTGTATTTCACCACCGCCTTTGATTTTGTCCTTGCTTCCCTGCTCATTCCCTGCCAGCTCTGTTCCTGGGATGAAGTGGGGAAGCGCTGCTTTTTATCCTTTGTGTATGCAATCCACAGTGGGACTGGAATCTTTATTAGGGCCCCTAACAACGATCACACACCTCAAAAAAAAAGGTAATTTGACCTTACATCCCCCAGTCTCTCCTGTGGGATGCATGTGGCTATTTATGCGTGCTCCCAGCCAGAGAGACTGGAAGCAGGGCTGTTTTACTCCCAGCTCTGACACCAGCCTGCTGAGCCGCCTCTGGCACATTGCTGTGTCATCTTCCCCTCTGTAAACTGGGTACCCCACACCACCTGCTTCTCTGGAGTCGCTGAGCTGACAGAGGATTCAGAAAGGGCTGGCTAACAGCTTACTGCAGCCAACACACCACTGCCTGTGGCCACCATGGTGCTCTGCCCATCTCCCTGGCCTCAGTCGTGTCCCCCTCTTCCTTATTCCATCCCTCAGGTGGCTGCCGAGCCTGAAAAAGGGGGGCAAAAAGTCTTAAATAGACTTTTGAATTTGCACACCAAAATACACCCAGGGCCCAAGCCTGGTTCTCCTCCAAGCGCTGCAGTCGGGACACTGGTGCCAGCCATGCCAGGGTGTTGTCCCAAATCTGGGTTCTTTCACTCAGTGGGGAAGCTGATCCACACACAGAGTTGAGATACTCGATTTTATTTCATGTCTGCGCAGAGACGGGTGCAAAGTGGTAAACCCACAAAGCTAGGAAGCGTATTTATGCATACATACACAATGTATACATATGCAAGCATATTTATACATTGCATATTCGGGCAACATTTGCATAATGAATCTACATCACTACCTGGCTGAACTACTACTGCCTTCTCCTTCCCCACCTCTGTTTAAAGGCACAGGGTATTCCAAATTCATGTGTTCAGTGGGTGAGGGTATTCCCTCAAAGACACGATTTTCCCAATTCAATGCACCAAGTTCACTCCTAGGCTATAATTTCACAAGTTAGCTTAAGATTTCTAACCCACATCCCTCGAAGCTGGTTTAGGCCTCCACGTAACCAGTCTCTTCCCTTTTTTCTTACATGGCATCCTCCATCTCTTAGGTCAGGTTGTTTCTCCTTTTCGCAGAAACTGTTCTCCCCGCAACTCGGGCGGCGCAGGGGTCTGGCGGAGGGGCAGGGCGGCGGGGACAGCCGTGTCCCCAGGGCCCGGGGGAGCGGCCGCCCCACCCGTCGGGGCGGGCTCGGGCAGGCCAGGTGAGGCGGTAGCGGCCCTGCCTCTCCCTCCTGCCCTCGCTGCCGGCCGGCGCTGCGCTGGGGCTGCCGGCGGCATGGCGGAGTCCCAGGTGCAGCTGCTGGACGAGCTGCACGTCAACGAGAAGGTGACGGAGGCCCAGGCCCGCTTCTACTACAGCGAGGAGCAGCGCCGAGCCCTGGAGGCGCTGGTGACCCGCGGCGAGGCCGCGTACCGGGAGGCGCTGAGGAAGGAGCAGCTCCGCGATTTCCTCTCCGGCCGGGAGCTGCAGGACCTGCGGGGCGGCTGGCGGGGCTACGACGACCCCCGGGAGGGCGGCAAGGTGGCGCGGGGGCCCGGCGGCGAGACCCTCTCGCTGGCCTACTGGCCCGAGTGCTCGGACACCGAGGTGCCCCCGCTGGACTTGGGCTGGACCGACAAGACCTTCTACCGCGGCATCAGCCGGGTGTCCCTCTTCACGCACCCGCGCAAGGAGGAGAGCGCGCCGCACCTGAAGGAGGTGGTGCGGGAGATGATCCAGCAGGCGCAGAAGGTACGGCCCGACCCTCGACGGGCCGGCCCTGCCCGCCCTCAGCCGGGCCGAGGGTCTGGCTCGGGGCACGGGGTGGAAGGTGGGCGAGAGCCGGGCTGCCCTCGCTCCAAAGCAGGAGCCGCGCAATGCTTGGGCTTTCCCTGCGCCTCGCTGCCAGCCGTGTTGCGCTTTGCCAAAGTTGATGCCCGTGATGGGGTTAAACCTCTGCACACCCCCTCCACCTTCCCTCAGCTGGGGTTCTGTACCCCTGGTTCGCGTTGTCCTGCCCCGGCCTCATTCCCGGGTTCACAGAAGTACAGGTGATGATGCTGTTACAACCACCCCTACCTGGTGTGTGCAGGTATCTCTAGTTAAAGACAGGGCAGCGTGTTTGCTTACGGGATGGTGTTTTTTTGGGTTTATTTTTTGTGGTCTCAACACCGTCCAGCCTGAACTGCAAGTAGACAAAGTGCAGACAATACGTGGCTGCTCCTCCCATTTATCTTTCCCTGGAAATGACTGCTGGTGGTGACAGGGCACCTCTGTCAAGAAAGCAAAACCAGTCATGATGCTACAAGGGCTTGCTTTGAACAGGTGGCGGCAATCACGAGGTTTTTCGTCACCCACCCCGGATGTGGGTGAAGTTCCCGGGGAAGACCACCCAGGAAAAGATCCCCGTCAGAGCTGTCACACCCCTTTGGTAAAGGGGAGAACAGCGTAAGAAACTTCATTCCTGCGCGTAGTTTTGTAGCTTTCTGGTTTTTCTGCTTTATAATTCAGCAGTCATTTCCTCCTCCACCTGTTCTCTTCTGCCAGCACACACTATATGCACAACTTCTGCAGACTTGTTCAAACCGAATCTGCCGGGAAACACAGGAGACTTTCCAGAGAGGCATTAATCTGGCGGGTGATCTTCTCAACTCCCTGCTCTCAGAAATTGTGCACACCCTGTAATTCTGTTCAATGAGTGGTGTGCTCAGTCACTTGGTACACTCCGATGTAGTGCAACTTCACCTCCTCTTTTCACTGCTACAAAGGCTTCTTTAGACCATTCAAGAACTGGGAAAGTTTGTTTCTTTCAATAGCTGTGCCTGGCACCTAGAAATAATTAATTCCTTTGTAGATTTTTATTTTTTCAGTGACTGGACAAACTGTGCCCCTCCCAGCCCGAAGCTGGTTTCATGTTTAACAGCCATTTGAGTGTTTAATGGTCCATTTCATAGATAACTATGCCTATTGTGTTCAGCTGAGCTGGCCCTGGCAAAAAAAAAAAAAGTCTCCAGGTAGCAGCTTTTTAATCAGCAAATGAGAGTGGGGGTTTGTTTGGTTTGTTTTTTCTGAGGGGGGTCTAAACAGATACTGGTAATATGTGGCACATGTCTGTGGGTGGCTTATCATCAATATTTTACAAATATATGTTAATTAAGCTACCTTGCTGCAATGAGATTAGCAAGCATCAACTTGCCAATCTTAAAATTCCTATGAAGAGCTGGGCACACCTATGGGCCCTACAGATAAGTTTATTATCTGTAGGATAGGAAAAGAAATGGGGAAAACCTCTTGCAGGGGTAGACACTCATGCTCTGACTTGCTGTGCTTGAGAACGCTCATGGGTGATCTTGACAGATCACCAGCTGTGACAGGGCTTTGAGATGGCAAACACAACAACAGGCATTGCCCGTGGGAAGTTTTGACTGATGTTCTCAATGTTCCCCACTCTTGGAAAGCAGCCTGAACTGACCCAGGGCCCCACAGCCTGGAGGGAACCGTCCCTTCACATTGCAAAGCCAGTACTGACAATGGTTTGTCCAGGACAGGGTGTAATTTCTGCAGTCATTAGACTCATTGCAAATGGAGGGAATGGAGACAAAAGAAGCTCGTGCTTCTGCTATCCATTCCTTATGTGGATGTTCTTACTACAAATGAATATTATTTATCATCCTTTCATTCTCCTAAATAGTTCATCCATACCACTGTGTGTGGGGGGAGAGGGAGCATAGTGGCCTGAGTTAATGCATGAACTGTTCATACCTTAAATTATTATTTACCTGTATATGGAGTTGTTCAGAAACAAAGTGGCACAAGTTCACTGTATTTTAATTTTCAGAGGTTCTGGTAACATTCCCTGCATCCTGCTGGGAAGGGAAAACCAAGGCAGGACCTGAAATCCTGCCTAGTAGAAGTCACTGTGGGAATTAGTATGAGGTAGCTCCAGCACAGTTCACCTGTATCAGGAGCTCACATGTTAATGATGAGCATAAATACAATGTCAGCTCTTTTTTCTTTCTCTTACAAAGGGAAGCTGGTGTAAGCACTGTTGACAGAAGGAGCCTGACAGGGCAGAAGTGTTGGTTGTTGTTGGCTGTACAAGCGGAGACTCAGCAGAGATTCTGCAGATGCAGTGAGGGATGTTTACTGTGGCATCACTTTCCCAAAAGTGTTTCCATTTGTTCAAGGGCTTTTTTCACAGGAAAGAGGTCTCTGGGGAGAATTATTCCCCCTTCCTTAGGGGGCTCCTGGAAGAGAGCTGCATCTCTTCCAAGCATCAAGTGAAAAAAATCCTACTGTGTGATTCAGTATTTAGCACCATTCACACCTGTATATGCCATCCTCAGCCCAGATGGGCTTATTACTGTGATCCCCAGCACCTGGGAAATTAAAATTTAGGCAACTCTATTCCCAGCATACTGTCAGCATGGCAGCTCTGACATGGCACATTGATGTTATGCTGAGGGACTAGAAAAACAGTAGTTTCCTCCATTGGTAATCTTTAAAATGTTGGGAAGAATAACTCAGGCAGAAAAATTAATTGTTATCTCTAGTGGTGTAAAAGATACATGTTTTGACTTTCTCTTCCTTTCTGTAAGATCAGCATTAAAGTTACCCATAAGCTTCTTGGTTTTCTTGTTACTCATCCTATAAACGTTCAGACTTGTCTCTCACGTCAGTGAAACCTTTTGTTTTTATGTAAAATCTATGCCTGGAAAAAAGGATTAGTTTTATACCACAAAAACAGTACATGCGAAGAGAGGGAATGATCATTTTGCCTCCGAATCTTGAATACACTCTGGTCCCTTCCTGAGAAGTATGAGGTGTTTATGTTTGAGCTCTATAAATCATTCCTTGGGAAGCCAGCCCTGAGAGCAGACTTTTCACGGGGATCTGTGGAAAAAAAAGTAAAATAGAATTCTTGTTGTCTGCACTATGCATCGTGGCTGGGGATGCAGGCCTTGATTCCTCTGCACATTCATTCTTCCATTAGACACCTTCAGCTTAAGTGTTAAAGTTGTGTTTTCAGTCTTTCTTTTCAGTCTATTTTCAGCATTCTTCTTCATTTAAGTGAATCCTTACAGAGACAATGGAAGTTTCTCAATACAGAGAAAAAATTTGGTACTTGGCTTTGGCATTCATCAGGCTGCTAAAATAAGTAATTTTCATCCAGAAGGAGAACTCTCATAGACATTTACTAATTTCCTTCCAAACTGCAGCAGTTAACCCAGAAAATTACAATTACTGGTAGTCCTTGGGCATGTACTTCCCTGTACTTTTGTCTCCCTGTGGGCTTCTCCTCCATTATCTGGTATCAGTGCTCTCCTTTATTTTGCACCATTGGGACAGGCCTTCCTTTCAGTCCCTAATGTTCAGTTGTCTGTCTACCATCTTCTTGTTTCCAGATTATTGCAGTGGTCATGGATGTATTTACGGACCGGGACATCTTCCGCGATATTGTTGATGCAGCATATAAGCGCTGGATCCCAGTCTATATAATCCTAGATGAGGAGGGAGTGAAGCTCTTCCTGGAAATGTGCAGATGCCTTGACCTCGGTGACTTGCAGATCCGGGTAAGATATTCAGTACTGAACCATTATCTCCTGCAGGTCAATGGCCTTTTGCAGCTGTAATGAATCTTGGAACTTGCTTGGGCAGGGAAACACATCCCTTCTTCCCTACAAGTCATAACACAGCACTTAGAGAGGGTTGATGGAACACAGAGGGACAACAGAATGTCTTGATAGTGCAAAAGGAAAGAAAAAGGAAAGATTAGGATTTTTTTGCCTTTCACCCAAGACAGGGATCTGTGTAGTTTCTTGGCCCTTGTGACCTAAAAATTCCTGTTTGGGGAGAAAATTATCAGAGAAAATTCCTATAGGTATTCTATGTGAGGATTCAAACTAGAGTCCCAAGTAGCCCTTTGAGTTGTCTGCATTGTTGCCTCTTACAGCACACATACACTCTGTGAAATCAAGATTTTCCTATCTAGCAGTGATCATCTGAGAGTGAATGAGCTTGTAGTCCTCCTCTGCAGGAGAATTTAAGGGATTGAGGGCCATAGGTGCTGCCCAGCCCCATACCAGAGTGCCTTCATGCAGTGCATGCAGCACAGCAGAGTAGTCAGTCTATCTTTGTGGGCAGAAGCAGCCTCGGAGGATCTCACTCCATTACATACAGACTGAAATCCTTTGTGTTTCTTGTTAGTATTGTATTCCTTCCTTTTTTTCCCCCCATCTTTTTAGTCACCATTGCTACTACAGACTTGTTCTGAATACTGAAAAAAGTTTCTAGGTTGGAAACAACCTATGGGATGCCAGACTCACCCCTCTTTGTAATCCAACTGTTCTGAGCAGCAGCAGGGGAAAAAGTGCTTTTTGCCTGGAGGAAGGGTGGATTTTCCATAAACACTCAATTAATAGTTAAAAAACCCCAAAACACAACCAAAACTCAAAAAGCTCTGAAGATTATAGAGTCTTATATTAATCATTTTAGGAGAACGATCTTAAATCCGTATGAAAATTACCTGCATGTATCTGAACAGTGCTCCTGTGAGCTACCACTCTGCTCTGTGTTTCATCAAAAAAGACATCCAGCTGAGAAGTTTTCTCATCTTTCTCCAAAACAGTGATGGAAGGTCCTTCCCTCTGGTGTCTTTGAAAGTAAGACACAGACCTCATTACAACAGATGTTGTAATGTTTCATGTGCCAGAGATATTGTGTGTCCTAGGCTTGTGTCTCTTTGGTACATAGCTGTGAAATCACAGCAGTAGTTCCATTTGCTCTAGTACCAGTTTCCCAGTACTTTTCTCACCATATCATCATGTACAGGAATGATGTCTTAAGTGTTACAATATTTTAACTCCTGGACAGAGTGAATGAAAAGATGTCCTGGCATTTTAGAAAGAGTTGTGTTGCTGTTGGAGAGGCAAGTTCCTTTCAGTCTGTCTTTTCTGTCTCTAAACAGTAAGCGGTCCCCTTCTACTCTTCCTCTTATCCTTCTCCACAGGTATCTACAAAGACTTGACACTCCTAAACCAGTGATCACAGTGATGTGCTACACCAGTGCCTAGGTCCTGCAGCAGTCTAGTTGTATGGCTCTCGCCAAGGAGGTGCCGTTTGAACTGATGCAATCAAAAGAAGGAGAAAACTTTTCTGTGTCTCTTCTGTGATTCCCTTCTTTCATGGCAGCCCATGCTATGCTTTTCTTTAGACTTCTTCAGCTAAAAATAGTACAAGCTGAGAAGTCCACTAAGAAGAAATTTTTAACACCTTTTGACCTAGTTGTTCACTATCCTGCAGAGCTTCAGCCCACAGATTGCTGTCCTTCAAATTTTCCCCCTCTTTTCCCAGGTATCTCAAACTGGATCTTAAATTCCCCTAAAGGTTGTTATCTTTCTTTTCCAGTTATCTTTCTTTTAAACTAGTTTCCAGGCTTTTGTTAGTCTTGTTAAGGTCAGTGCAGGTAATTCCTGTATATGGTTCTATGGAATGACCAGGGAGATTCTTCATGGGATGGGGAAAGAAGTCCTTTGCCTCTCAAGGAAGATGTTCTCTTAGTATCCCACCCACAGCTGCCTTGGATGTGCCTATGCTGCTGCTTGGGTCTGTGTAGCAGAAACCATCATGCAGGAATTTCCCTGGTAACAGGTTTTGGATACCCAAGGAAGCTCCAGCAAGGTTAAGGTTTCCCGTTGAGGACTCTCCCCAGCCCTTCCTCTTTGATGCAACATGCCAAGGGTTGAAGATCCAGATTTAAAGCAAGAAAGAAAGCTGGTCCTCCGGTCTTGTTCAAGCAGAATCATTGTGTCCTGCATTGTTTGACCACAGAGGATATTGAAATTGCTGAGTTAACTCTATCATTCACCCATTTCTTACCTACCAGTCTTTCTCCTGACATCTGCTTTGATGTCTGAGTTTCTTCTACAGATTTTTAGCAACAGGGAAAATGTTATCTCCTTTTTGAATAAATATTTTGCTTTATTCTAGAAGGTTTTCACCAGACTGTTTGCCAGCAAAGGAATTGCATACTCTTCTTTCCTGCCCTTCTGCCCACCTTTCCTTTGGAATCCTTGTGCAAGGTACAGAGGATGGCTTTTTTCTCAGGAAGTGTGCAGACACATGAAATACAACTCTTAAAGTTTAGAGGCAAGTTCTGATCCAAGGGGGGAAAGAGATGATGCACTACCATGAACTGCAGGGTCACAGTGTTTATTCTGTCACCACCAGATACTCATTTTGTTCTGCATTCGCTGCCCTTTTAGACCCATTGCCCTGTTCGTCCAATGCAAAATGAATACTTCAACAGTCCTAATATGGGGAGATTTACTGTTAACACTCTGTTTTGCCCTTTGTCTGTGTATAACGATGGACATTTTCACAAAATTCCTGACTATTGTATTATTTTTGTAGAGATGGCAAGGTATCATGACCTGCTGACAGTCTCATGGCAGGGAAACTACTTTCCCTCCAGTTGTAAGGTAGAATCGGGAGATAAGACGACAGTACCTCACCCTACAAAATGTAAAAATTCTCAACCAACTCCAAGCATGAAATGAGAAACCCTCAATTTTTGTCTGAAGGCCAGAGTTCACCAGAAACATGTTTAAATTCAATCATCAGAACATTCATGGGTTGTTCATAAGAGCATGTCTTGTATGTGTGAGTCATACGGTTTCCTGAGCCTACAGGACATGGTTTGTCAGATTTCTGTTATGTTTGACACAAGAGTATTCTTTGGAGATCACAGTGAATCAGAGATCTCATAGACACAAAATTCATAGCCCCTCAGAAATTCCTCTTTTTCCAGGACCTGAGGGTGAATGTTCTCACCAGGTTTTATAAGTGTTTTTTGTCCTCCTGTTTCTGTTAACCCTAACCACAGTAACAGACACTCCTGCTCAAAGAAGAGAGTTCTCCTAAGAGCTCCAAGCAAGCCCAGGGAATGACTTATCTGCAGGAAGTTTGCTTTCACATTAATTTTTACATCCCTTTTCCCAACACGTAAGAAGTTTCTCCTTTCACTTCAGAATGTCTAAAAAGCTTCTGCCTAAGAAACTTTTGGAATTTCATTTCAGTATTTTATATTTTTTGTCATTGATTCTTACCTGAGATGAGGAGTGGAATGTGATGTGAAGCAGTGCTGTTGGTTTTTTAATGGTCTGCTAGAGTGTTCTTCTAGACTATTTGTGACCTTCTGAGAATGGAAGCTTGTAAGGCTCTCTTTTCGTGAAGACACAGGTAGATAATATTCAGTAATGATCTTGGCAGGCCATGTCCCAGCTAGCTGCATTCCATCCTGTTCTACATGAATACTTGGAAGTTACACTGTTTTGTCAATAACCATGCCTTTTCCAAAACTGTCCAGGGCAAACAGAGGATTTCCCAGTTCTAAGAGAGAAGGTACACATAGGATTCTCTGGTGGAAGCGGCTACACCACCTCCCTTCAGGGTCTGTGTTGTGTGTCCCCCTACTCAGCCCCAGTTTGTAAGCACTACAGCCCAGATCTGTCAAGTCAGTCACAGCATTACTCACTTTCTAAATTGGGTCTAATTTAGCTTTCTGTGGATTCAGAGTGAGGTTTAAAAGTGTCACAATAAAGCAAGGAATTACTGTTTGTATTAGGATGCTCTGTCAGGCTTGACTGTTGCCAGTCATATTAAGTTGTAGCCAGGGAGATGTTAGTCACTGTTTGTGATGAGGAGTGGTGCAAGTCTGTGGAAAGGGAATATGGAAATTTAATGCAGACTGAATTTCCCATAAGCCAGGATATGACAAAATAAACCTTAAGCAGACTTCTGCAACAATACAGTTCTGGAGGTGTCACTTCTCTCTGGTGAGTTAACTAGTCCTCTACTCAAAATATTTGTTACTACTGTAACTCTAGTCCCCCCTGAAAATGCCTGCAATCTTATCTCATTTATATTTGTCTTTTCTCTTTTGTTATTGTGCAGTCTTCAGTACATGAACCCAGGCTTGTTCTTTCTCTGTACAGCTTGACTTAGCAGTCTGCAAATGCTCTGAGATCCTTCAAGGCAGAAAATACTATACAAATAACCTGTTAAGTGACTTGATGTTTATATGACTTTGTGCTTGTTTTCTGCATTTCAAGATGTATTAATGCACTCCTGTATGTACTTTATTCAAGGAGATTTATGTGCTCAGCTGTTCAGTGCCATCCCCTCTGCACCCTTCTAAGTGTTATGTACACCTCAGTTACTGCAGAAATTCAAGTGTGCTTTCTTTCCACCAAAAGAAGGTGATAGAACATTCAAACACAGCAAGATCCACACTTGTTATATGCTGGGAAACTTTCTGCTCACACAGATTAATACTTCTTGATTCACGGGAGTACATATCAGAGTCTGAGCTGTTGACTGATTTCTTGTCTTGCACAGTCAGCATACCATGATTTGGAAAATCCCACATCCAACATCAATCAGCCAGGAAAAAAAATATTTCAGGTGATCAACCAGCCAGATTCAAATGTTATTTTAACTACTGGAAAGGGCACCCTTTCTCCTGTGTTCTACCCAACCTGCCTTCAGCATCCCACACATATGACTCACTGCTAGGCCTTGGGCAAACCGCTTCATCTTTTTCTGTCTTAGGCTCCTCATCTTTAAAACAGGGTAATAATACTTTCAGCAGTGTTGGGAGCATTAATTAGCTTGTGCCCACACAGGACTCTAGACAGATCAAGCAACAGCTGAGTGCAAAACAGTACTATCATCAGTTACTGTTAGTCAGAATTTGTATTTCCACTGCTGTATTCTGGGATGGGGGGGAAATAGGAGTGGATTCAAAAGGCAGGAGTTATATTCAGAAAAACAGATTTGGAAAGAAATCTGCATTCTTATAATCACTCATTCCTGCATGCTGATTTCTATAGCCTATCAATATTTAAGCTGTCATTGAGGTTTCTAGTAATAGGACTTAGCTCTTTGTGGAATCTGAGGCTGTGTTAGCATTAGCCAAATCCTCCTGATTCTTCTGCTCTGCAGAAGGGGAAGAATGAAACAAAGGTGAATGGACTTTCCCAGAACATCACAGGGAATAGTATCAGAACTGCAATTATGCCTGGAACTATCTGACTCCCAGCCCTGAATTTATGACTCCAGTTCACAGTGCATTTTAGCTTTTCATTCTTAAGGAATCCTTACATAAAAAGATGGTGGAATGAAGAAAATTGTCTAGATTTGTGTGTCAGAGTGACAAGATAATTTGCTCCAAACTTATACTGACATTCAATGTTTTTGGGTTCGGGGCGAGGGGGAATGTTTCATGTTAGACACTTTGGCAGTTCAGCTTTGTGCAGCCAGGACCCATGAGCAGAGTAACGCTCAGTCCAATGTGCAAATATATCCTTATAGTAGGCACAGATCTATTGTTGAAAATCCTGTAACCTTAACTTTGTGGTTTTTCTATGTCTGGTAGTGTTTTGTTTTATTACTTGTAGGTTAGCTGACCAAAGGGTGTGAGAAGTGAGGTTTGGGGAGAGGTATTATTTTTCTAACTACTTCCATTCATTTTATGAAAAGATTCTTCTTCCTCGTCTTCAGAAATTCTTCTTCACTGATCTATTAAGGACATTAGTAGAGACACTTATCTGACAGCATTGTCTTGCCAGTGGCTCAAGTGAATAGCTGAAGGCAGCAGGCAGGGTTTTGATGATGCTGACCCCTTGGACAGCTATAAACCGATGGAGAGGAGTGACCTGGGTAGACAGGGGATGATGACAGGACTTACAGCACTGTACTTTCCTTTTGCAGCCCTTCTGGTGGCTGATACAAAATGAGCTGTAGTCCCAGAAGTAGTGAGATAATGTGAGTGACATCTGAAGACTTGGAGCTGGCAATTATCTAATTTTCTGCTCTATTTATTGTGACATTTTGTCTTTCACCTCCCTGTTAGAATATCCGCATACGCTCTGTGACAGGAGTTGGGTTCTACATGCCATCAGGGAAGATCAGAGGCACACTGGCATCCCGATTCCTGATGGTGGATGGTGAAAAGGTGGCCACTGGATCATACAGGTGGGTTACTCTTGCTTAAGGTGTTAAGGCATTTATTTAAATGGTCATGACTTTGCTTGAGAGTCTTCTTCATATGTCATCCCCCTTCTATCCCAGCTTCTATAATCTGTGTGGCATCTGTATAAACTGGAGTGGGACAACAGAGAAGGTGGCATAGAGCCGTTCTCAGAGAATGGAACATACCCATGCTGGCAGACCACTTCAGAGGTCTGCTAGAGACAGATCCACACTTCATCAGGAAGGGGTCTGCAAGGACTTCCCACCAGTCTCTGTACTCAGTTCTCATCAGTGAGGTTTTCAATCTGGAGACTTTTCCTATTGATGCAGTGCTGCTTTTTTAAAAGGGTAAACTGTGCTTCAGAGTTTTGGGGCCTTTTCTTCCAAATCTGGTCTACATGTCTAAAGAAGAACAATAATGCTGTGTCATGTATCTACTTGGGCCCATCTGGCCAAGGATATAAGGGCAAATGACACAATGCTACATACTCACTCCCATGTAGTGTCTTAGGTTTTGTTAGGTGGGCTGGGTCAATTATGCACCCCAAAATCTAATGTTGGTTCTGTTTCCTCCTCCTAGTTTCACATGGACTTCATCCCACATTGACAGAAACATCCTGCTAGTCTTGACAGGACAGCACGTGGAGATGTTTGACATTGAGTTTCGTGAGCTCTACGCCATCTCAGAGGAAGTTAATTTGTACAAGGAACTGGGTATTGCTAACCCATTCCTCCATGGAATTGGGAAGCCAGGCTTTCATTCCTCCACCGTGGCTCGGAAGTTCATTAACCCAAAGTATGGTTTAGTAGCAGGGGCAACCCGTGGTGATATGATGCTCTGGGCTTCACGGCACAGGCAAGACAATCAGGGAAACATGGAGAAAGAGGAAACAAGCGAGTCAAAGAAACGGTTAAATCAGTTCCTGAATGACTTAGTCACATTGGAGCAAGTGTTCCCAGAAATAGATCCCCCTCTGGAGAACTTGAACAAGCTGAATCGGAGCCCCCAGAAACTGTTGTCCCGGCTCCACATGGACCTGAAAAATAAATCCAAATCCAGAGAGTCTATTCGTGACATAAAGAAAGAAGATGCACAGACCAATGCAAAGCAAGGAAAAAGGTTTGCCAGTGGGCTTTTCAGTCGCAAGGCCAAGCGGTCTCCAGGGTCAAGCATTGAGGCCAATTCTTTTGCAAGTGAAGGACATTCAGGAGAAGACCTTGGGAACATGAAACTGGAGTATGAGAGGCTCAGCATTGGCCATGCTAGTGTTCGGAGCACTGGAGGCAACTCAGGTAAAACCTTCTTCCAGCATACTCTGCTTTCTGTGTCCCTTGTTCTGAGCTTTGCTGATGATTGATGTAAGCATACCCACTATAGGCACTTGTGAGTAGATCCTCTTATTTCCTCTGAATCAAAATGGGCAAGATGAAAAGGTAGAAGTTTTATCAAAAGATACAGGCAATTTAAGTTGAAAGCAGTTTGATGGCAGTCTTTCTGTAAAGTTGGTACTTCTCATGTGGATGTTGTTCATACTTCTGAGCAACAAAGGGAGAGAAAGGTGAACATTGCCTTGTGTAAAACAGTGCTCAATTCATGAAGTGCATTTCCCTAACAAACAGCAGCACTGTGTGCTATATTGTAGCAGCTAGCAGGCCACAGACAGATTTTCAGTGTAATCCCTCCTTTCCTCATTAGCTTAGGCATGTGTATTTACTGTGACAAATTCCTGGTCGAGAAGAAAATATGTTTATGTTGAGGTGAGGGCCAAGGAGTGGAGGAAAGGGTGCAAGTCTTTTTAATTTGTTCCTTTACCACCTTCTGAAATGGGGGAGAAGGTCATGAAAATAGAAGCTACAAAGAAGTAGATCACTGGACCTCAATTTTTCTTTCTTAATGTGTGACTGATATTTTCACTAAGTCCTCCCAAGGCTTCAATCAGTTGAAGACACAAATGATAAAAAATTCTAATAGGTTATGGCTTCATAGCTAACTCCCCAACATTTTACATGTTTTGTGAGATTGAAGTAAATCTTTGGACTATTCAGCCTGATTGTCCTTTCTCTCAGTGAGCTGTGTTGGGTGTCAATACATCCTGCACCATCATGAAAATAAACTAATTGCAAGGAAAAAATTTCTCATCCACTTGTCTGGCCAGAGACCATTCTGTGCTCTGATGAATGTGAAATGCAGATATAGAGAAACTGAATTCCCTTGCAGCTACCATGATGTGAAATGGAAAGACCAAGAAGAAAAGTGGGGTATTGTGACAGTCAACAACAGTGATTAATTAGGTTCCTGGAAATATTTCTGGCTAAATGAAGGATGGACTCAAAAATGCCAGATGAGCACAAGAGAACTGTTAAGACAGCATGGCAAATTTATTGAAGGCTGTAGTAGATCCATTTTAGAATCTGCATTTGGCATTTGGGGAGGCAGAAGTAAACCCTGGTCTAAAGAAGTCCTCTCTCCAAGTAAGTCTTGAGCACAGACATTATGTGCTGGGGTGCCCCATTCCTTAAAGCCAGGAAAAATGAGAGAGGACCTGTGGGGAGATGTATGGGCATTTCCACTCCGTGGGAATGGACCTGAGTGCTTGCACTACCCTCTAGTGACAGAAGGAGAGAATTGTGTCATCTCTGATTCATAGTGCTTTGAAATATCAGAGATTCTCGCTTTTTTAAAGCGGCCAGCCTGGCTGCTTTAAATTTCTTGATGAACTCAGGCCCAGCTTACTGCACGAGAGGTTGATGTCTTTGGTGGGACAGTGGGGCTGCGCCCTGCTGGGGCATTGCACCATCCGGGCAGCAGGGTTGTCTCTGTTCCTCCTGACACAGTGGATCTGTGCCAGACAGTCTGATACTTGGTCTAGACCATTTCCACAAGACATTACCATGCTATTATGTTCACATTTTATTTATTGCTGCTGTTACTTCCTGCAGACTGCCAACTCTTTCAATAAGGGGGAAGAAGGATTGAGAGCAGGTCCAGGGAAGGCACTGAGGTCCAGCACACCAGTCTTCCCCCTGTGCTTTTTCTGACCTGATAAACCTTTCCAATGAGTCCTTGCTAGTATTTTTGGTTTATGCAAATTGAGAATGCCTGTTCATGGTGACAGTGGGAGACTCCGCAGCTTTTGAAGTATGGTGTAGGTAGACTTTGGCCATCTGGTGTCATCAAAGGCTGGAGGAAGATCATGGATTGTGTGTTGCTTTTGAATTAAATCACTATTCTTGAGAGAAAACTTCTGTAGTCTAATAGTCCCAAAGTGGCATTTGAACAGAGATGGTAGAGGATACATTAGACAGATGGAGATTCTTGAGGAACAGAAGAGGATTTAATAAAAAATTCTTAAACACAGCCATGGAATAGAGTTCCAGCCTCAGTATAAAGATAGGGAACACTTTGTTCTTGGGTAACTTTAGGGGTGACTCAGTTTTAAAAGTTTAAGTTGTCTTTGAGCAAAGCTAGTAAAAACTAGTGCTGTGATACTCTGGGTGACAGAAGGGAGATAAGAAGTGGAAATGAAGGAGAAGGTACTTGGTATGCAGGCAGGTTAGGATGCAATTACTCAGAGCTTCACAGTTTGAAATAGCTGCCCTTAACTTTTGTAAAGATTAAACAGCACACTTAAGCCCCTTGGGCCTGCCTGTGCACACATCCTCCAAAGTCACTATTAATTCTGTAGCACCAGAGAGACACATCCCACCTTGCAAATGCATGGAGAGACCAGATCCACACCTGAGTAGCTCATGGAGTAGTTGAAAGACATTATTCAAACAGGCTAAAAGTCAGATTTGGTCTTGTAGGAGCAAATGGTGATGAAGAGAATCTGAACTGGTAAGGGAAATTATGAAAGTGTGTGCTGTGATGGAGCCTGAAAATCTGATGCAGTATTTACAGGCTAGAAAAGGATACTTACGAGTCAGAATTTGGGAGTCTGGAAAATACAAGGGCTACAGATAGTAAGTAATGTCCCAAACTAAGTATCTGAATTAACACCCTGAGGTGTTGTCCTGGCACACCACATGGAAGTTGCACATCATCTTACAAGGCTTTCTCAAACCACATCATCAAATTAACAGAACCCTTGAATTTCGCTGTTTCCCACTGAGAAACACAAGAGCAGCTCTGAACCTAACCAGAATCTTGTTAATTTTAAGCTGGTGCTGGGCAGACTGTGATCAGCAAAGACAGTGACTTATGTATGCAGTTTCTGGGAAACACTGCAAAGGTCTGAAAGCTGTGTGCCATTAGAAGGCACAGGCTTTTTGGTTAGTCTTCTCCCTTGGAAGAAACAAAGTGGGCTTGTTCAGAAGGGTCTGCTGTCCTGAGTTGCTCCATGCATCAACTTCATTCCTCATGAGGGGTGGTTGCAGAATACATACACTTAGTAGAAGGATTTTGTGGTTTAGTTCTGTGTGCTTCTTGCAACAGGAAATGGGATTTATGCTGGGCACTGCAATGGCATTGAAATAGCGGCTTAGTTATCTCCAGCATTTTTCAGCAAAAGTGAGATCACAGAAGGGTTGTAACTGGAATTTTCAGCCTCTTTTCTAGAGAGAAAGAGGGAAATGTTATTGGGTACATACAAGGAGGATGTTCTAACTGTAGTGGGATATGTAGAAGAAGGTCAGAAGACAAGAGTGACAAGAATAAAAGGGCTGGGTTTTGAAATTAAGTGGAGAAGCACAGACATCCTTCAAAATAAACATGAGGGTCTTGAATATGATAGAGACAGGGAAGGAAAGAGGGGTGGGGAGGAAACAGGAGTAATGATAATACTAACATGAGGATGTGTCAGAGGGGGACAGGTAGAATGAAATGCCCCAGGGAGCTGTGGGGAGGAGGCAGTAGCACACAGCAGCCACCAGTGAGGACAGGTTGCAGTGCAACCTCCCAGGTTAACATCAAGAAGATGCAGTGTGGAAGAAAGTGGCGAGAAGGAGGGGGAGAGAAGAGAGCTCTTCTCTTCCCCATCACCTACAGATAAGGGCAACGCTGATTAAATACCCACAAGCAAGAGAGTGACATTAAAAATTATTCTCTTGAAGCCCAGTTCAGAGGCAGTGCTCGGGTTGAATGCTCCCTAAGCTTAGCAAGGCTGAGATTTCTCAGTAGCATGTCACCATGACCTGTGGCAGTTCTCCCTCTCTGTTTTCACTCTGAAAAGGCATCTGGCTCCAAGTGCTTGGGAGATGTACATGTACCTTCCTTCTATACAAATACATGAGCAAGGCCTGCCCGTATTCAGAGTGATTCCAAGGCAGCCCCTCTCAGTCCCTGCTGCCCTGGGCTAGAGACATGCAAGCTTTGCTGAGCTCAGAGCACAGATGAGCTCCCTTACTTGCAAAAGCATCAGAACACGCTTTAGTACAGTGCTTGAAACAGATATGTGGGGCATCCAGATCAACATCTGTAATGATGGAGACCAGACAGAAGTGCAAGCATTGAAAGGTACAGATACTGGGAGCAGAAGAAATTCATAGAGTAAGCAGTGAAAAAATCTAGGATTATAAAAAATGGAGGCAGCATTCTCTGCTGCTTTAGTGAGAGACCTTGAAGCACTGGGATTTGTCTTGCAAAGGCAGTGGTGGAAACACTGGCACTAGAGATATTTGAACAAAACATGAAAAAAACCTCTACTGAGAATGTGTGTGGGTATCAAATGGATGAGATGACCTTACATTTTTGGGGTTTTTTTCCATACCTCACTCTTTGGAAAACTTCCCACCCAAGGCATGACCAGATTATTTTTCATTGCCAGCTGGGACCTAATGATACCACTGAATCTGGACTGGGTACAAGGCAAAGCCTGAAATACTTCTTGAGTGATTTTCTCTATAATATACTCTGCATTTGCTCTTATTTTAATGTTTCTTCATTTCACTGCAGTAGAAAAAAAGCTATGAGAGAGTGCAGAATAATATAGGTCTAACACGAGGTGCATAGTAAAAAAAGAGAGCGAAGCATGAGTCCAAACTTTATCCAGGTCTTATTTACTTAACATTAACACTACTTTAACTTCTTTTCATTCCAGGTAACCTGAATCCAAACTCCACTATGAGCGATAAAAACAAACAATCAACCTGTGTGTTATCTTGATTGGGAAGGATTGTCTGGAGAACTAAAGACTGAATCACAAGCTGGAACAGTAATTTCTTGATTGATTTTGAACCTACAGCCATATCCTCATGCAGTGGTCTGTAAAGCCACTGCGGGTCCTGGATGCATCTGGCACCCCCAGCTAAAGCACATTCACTGTGTGATGAGCAGACTTTGGATAGCTGGTCCCTTAAATGAGGGTTAGTCATGAATGTATTAGTCCATATGTCTACATGCACACATATTTTGTATACAAAAACAACTGTGATGACTGGTCTCAGAGCTTGCTCTGTGCCCAGAGAAATGCAGGAGATTTTCTGACTTGTGCTGCTACTTCGGTCTGTCTAGCTACAGACTTGAAATCACTGTGTTGCATTGTTTACTCTACTGTACTGCAAAACTGTATTGATCTGACTGGCTGTAAGGCTGAATCCAATTGAAGTGGCAAATTCTGCGTGAAATAAGGATGTTTACAAACAGCAGAGCAATCCTTTGTCCAAAAGGTGTCTTCCTGTAGATTCTTGTTGTCACTTGCCCACGCAGAAATGAGTGGTCTGGCAGAAGGGTTTAGCTAACAGTGGCCAACAGAGCATTATCAGAACTGTATCACATCATAAATGTAGCAGTCGAACAAAGTGATCTAGCAAGAATGTGGTAAAGAGAAAAAATGGAATATAGAGCAATATTAAACATACAGCTGAGACCAGGTCAGGAGAAGTGCCTGATAAGGGGCCTGGGCAGGATCTGGGAGCAATAACACACACTTCAGTGGCTGTTATGAAATCCTCGATGTTGCTAATTCAGCAATACTTTTACCATTCCTGGAGACTCAGTGATTAAGGAGCACGTCTTTGAGGGTTGAAAGGGGAAGCAGAAGAGGCATGCAAGCTTTTCAAATGTTCTTTTTTTTTTTCCTTAAGTTAACCTTTCCAAAATCTAAATCATGCTAAAATTGAGAGCTTTGATCCATAAGAAGCATTGTGTGCAATCAGACCAAAGGCCATCTGATCTGCTCTTCTGCCACTGAGAATAGCCTGTAACAGATGATCACAGAAGCATAAAATACAAGGCTTGCATATACAGAGGTCTTTCTCTGACACCATTTCAGCAGTCTATGGACTTTATCAGCTTTCTGTCAGTTCCTTCTGGACCTGGCCTTAACAAATGCGCTTAGTCCCTTTCTAAAAATCCTTTTTTCACTTTTGGCCTCCAAAGTGTGCTGCAGTAACAAACCCTAAATTCATTGCATGGTGCAAAAAAGAACTGTTGTCAGGCTGTTTTAATGGTTTCCTTGATGATTTCCTCATAGCTACTACGGGATCTGACTGGCACTTCTGTCCTCTTGTTCACTATCCCTTTTCCAGTTCTACTCACTAACAGAGTGGATAAGTTTGTTTTTGTCTCTACAGATTGTTTTTGTCTCTACAGTGGGCAGATTGACATTTCACTCTGCTTTCTTGCCATTTAAATTACATACTCTGCTGTCATAAGTAAATCCTCTTGTGATACCTAAAAAAACTAGATTCTAGTTATTAGAAGACACCTGAAAACTAACATGCCTATGTGCCAAAAAAAAATTTAGACATCAGGAAAAACACAGGTTTTATTTTCTTTCTTTTTCTTTAGAGAAACCATCTGGGTTTTTAGCTGCACAACAAATTCACAGCAAAGGCAGTTGATGCACCCCCAGCACAGAAGTAGCTGATCCAAAGACTCTCAGGTGCTGGGTTGCAGTAGAGGTTCTTACACTCAAACAGATGTCTGTAGCTGATGATAAAATGCAATTGATTCACTGATTAATTGCCTTCCCTTGAAGTATATTTAACTTGAATGGCAAGCAGGTCCGTTTTACTCTATTTACCCTGCAGAATGTCTTGAGATGCTAAAATACCAAAGGTATTGTGCCCTCTGTTAAACATACTCATCCTCACTCCATGGGTTAAATGCTTGCTACTCCATATAATATTCTATGTAGCCTTCTGGGAATGAGCTGCAGTTTTACAGCTGGGTCTGTCAGCTCATATTATGAGAAGTGTTTCATAAAATCGTTCCTGGTAATGGGGAAAAAAAGAGGTGTTGGAAATGACACCACCACTTGGATGTAGAAGTGATTTGATAGCTGAGTTATCCTGTTGGCTTCATGTGTGTAGCTCATGTGCCTAAAGTTACTCGCTGTGTTTCCAGGATTGTCAAAAGTGGTTTGATTTTGCCATAATTTGGTTACTCTCTAGACATTTGGGAGACTTTGTTTTTCTCTCCTTGTATTTATTTCACTTCATTAGCAAAGATCAGATATAAATTTATTAGGCTGATGTTGTTCTACTTTTTGTTCTGATAAGAACAGTGTCATCTGGTGCTTCCTTGTCCTCCCAGGCTTTTAAAATATTTATTTTTTTAATTGTGCAATAGGTTAATTAACTAATTAGCACCATGTTGATATATATGGTCAGGTTTTCCAGGAAGTCCTTTATCTCCCTGTTGCTTCATTTTGGGTGAAGTGACTTAACAAATAGTCCAAGAGGCTGATTTCACTTGCCCCTCCTTTCCTTCTGGCATTAAAGCGTTTTACTTTCTCTTCCGTATGGTGGATGTCAGAGCTCTTCTCTTTAACCTGTCAACTAATAAGATGTCCTCTCCAGAGAATGTCTCTCATCTGTTTGTCTTTGTTGCCTCACCAGTTCCTGAAAGGTAATGTTCACTTGCTTTCAAATTCTTTCCATGGAAGTCAGTCTCATGCCTTGACTCCAGGGGCTAGTAGAATTCCTTAGGCTTATCACGCGCTGCTTAATTACTTAATTTGAGAGAACAAACTTGCTTTTTTGCATGATATAAATCTGCTCCTTAAACTCAGCATGACTCTGAGGATGCACACAGCCTTGTTGATCCAGAGTGGAGGTTTCAGGCTCTGGTGGAACTAGTTCTTCCCTGAAGATAAAATCTGCTGCACTTGGGCTATTTACCTGCTCCTATGGCAACAGAAGTGAATCTGGGTGAGGTGACCACATTTATTTTGACTAGTTTTTGCTAATTGTGGTTCTTGATGAGTGCTAGAAACCTGAGGCTGTGACCTGTAAAATGAACCTTTCCTGCTCTCCAGATAAAATGTGGTTGATGGTGCAGGGGGTCACAGGGGCAAAGAGCAGTACTTAGGAATTGTGTTGGAAGTCTGCCAGCAGAGGCTGAAGGTACAGCAGTCTTCAAATAAGACGTCCTTTGGTGCTTGCCCAAGATGGCCCTTCATGTAATCAATAGTCACCAACCTTCCGAGGGGATGGGAAAGATGGGAATTGTTGTTGTGTTGCTACTCAGAAAAGCCAGATTAGCTCTTTTTGGCATCTCTATCCTGACCCTGTACAATCCCAAGAGGACGCTTGTCCTCTGGATCTCGCTCCCTCGTTGGCTGATCTGTGTGGAGCACTGTGGGGCCTACAGCTGTGGTCCTGGTTTTGGACAAAGTAAGGAAGCTGGGGCTCACGGCTCTCTCTGGCCTGCAGTGGCGAGTGGTTCAGAAAGAGCCACTTGGCTGAATGTGTGCCTTCTGTGTTTCTTTTGGTATGCGTTTGTATATTTAATGTATACGTGTCCAGTTAATTATGTGGGAGACCTTTTCTAAGTCAAACAAATAAACTCTTTACTGTGTTACATTTAGATACTGTGTTCATGGTGTCACTTGTAATTTCTCTGCTACAATTCCTGGGTTGGGGGCATTTTTCTCATTTATTTGTCAAGAACCTGTCTGGATGAGAGCAGGTTTCTGTGTAACTGGTGAACTTCTTTGGTCAATGTTTGGTGGTATTTATTAAAACAAGTGTGGGCAGCTAAGTTCTCCACAAGTACAGTGTTTTGTGGCTTTGAGTACCTTAAGAGAGGCTTATTCATTCCTGCCTACTCACTGCTGGAGTAGGCTGCAGAAGTTGTCCACTTTAGTTGTTTGGGGCTATTTTTTTATTTTTTTATTACTTTGCAGCTGAAATGTATCTTGCTGCAGCTATAAATGCATCTGACAAAGTGCCACCTTGCTTTTCCCTTCCATCTTTCTTATATAATTTGTACCCATCAGCAATGACATTTAATTTATGAAACTGAGTCCCTGTGCTACATTTCAGTTTTACCTGGTATAATGTAATCCTTGACATTTAAGTAACTCGCAAGCTCTTGTTTTCCATGCTCCCTTTGTTTGCGTGTACAAAAGCCTGTTTTAAAATTCCTGACCATGTTTCAGAATAAATCCAGCCTCTATTTTACTTTTGGGCATTAGGGTACATAAAAAAGTATTTGCAGTAAACAAAATCTTCATCTTTCAGTGTTTAAAATCCATGTAGCAATTGCATGTGTACAGTTTAAGAGGAGTCTATCTAATCCAAGCTTGTTTCACAGGGTATCTCAGGACTCTGTAGATCCTGAGCTTCTTTCTTTATAGCAATAGCACCACCATGACTTTCTGCCTTTTCTTTTTCTGCTTTAGGGAGATTCTCCAAGAAAGAAAGATAAGATTGTCCTTTCCCTCATTTCCCTACTACTTTAATATTACTAGTTTCTAGTTTCTTGACACTTTTGTCTGTGCTCTTGCAAAATCAGGGAGCAGTCCAGGATTGAATGACCTCTTTGTGTCTCTAGAACTTATGTCCCCTGTCCTCAGCCTGCTGAAGAAATGCAAATTTGGAAATCCTCATTAATAAGCAAGGCTTAAGAAAAGCAGTCAGTGACTGTTGTGACCATCTTGGAAAAGAAGCCTATGGATGTAGATGAAATGGTAAAGCCTTTATGCCTGTAGCAAGGCTGGCACAGGTTTACCTAACTCTTTGCACAACACGCATTTCTCATCTTTCTTGCAAGTCTGGGCATGTGTGCTTGGGGAGTTAGGTTACAGAAAACCACAGCATGACATACAGCACTCAGCATCCAAATGTGGGCAAATTTGCAGCGCTTTTCAGCAAGATAAAGAAGTAAGAGAGTAGGTGGAAGTGTCTGCACAAGAACTTAGGGGCACAGTAGCTGCT